AGAGAGAGGGAGGGAGGGAGGGAGGGGGAGAGAGGTGAGGAGACACATCGATTGGTTGCCTCCTGCTTGAGTGCCAACCAGGGCAGAGATTAAGCCTTAAACAGAGATACTTGCACTTGGCTAGAATCAAACCTGGGATCCTTCAGTCCTTGGCAGACACTCTAACCACTGTACCAAACCAGCTAGAGCTCAGTTGTTTTTTTGTTTCCAGGAATCACATTTCAAAAGCAAATGTCAAAATTATATTAACTATTCATTACATTTAAAAAAGTATCACATGATATGATATGATATTTTTCATGTCATCTCAATTTTCAAATCAAAGTGATAACATTATAAAACATAATTTTCACAATAGCAAAAAAAATCCTATTTTTTTAAATTAATTTTATATTTGCACATTAAATAAAATATTCAATTAAATAAATAATTTACTTTTAAGTATTTCTAATATTTTAGTAAATACAATTTCAAAGTACAATTTGATGTGTAGCAATTTTAACATTGGCCTTGTGAGCTGTTTGCAAGGTTTTTGGTGTAAGGTGCTTGCAAGATATGAAATATCACCAAGACAGAATAAAGAATCTCTTTATCTAATCATAATAGTCAGAGCAGCTGTTTCTGAAAAAGCATTCCAAAATGTTTTTGCTCAGAACCTCTTTCTCAGAATTTCTCAAACTGGACTAGCATTTATGTGCTTCATTTTTAACACAGAATATAAATATTTTAAAATTTAATGTAATTTTTAAAGTTAGTGTTCAAGTAAAATAACAATGTTATTTACATATTTATACATATTTATAACTCCTACCAATAAAAAAGACGTTGGATTTTTTTTAATACTCCCATCCCCTTCTTCTTGACCTAATGTGTTGCCAGCTCATTTTAGGATATAAGTAGTAAATTACCAGAATTAAAAACAAGGAGGCAAGTACTAAATTAATATCTTTATATTGAATTCTTACTGGTTCTGGAGTGGAAAGATTTGTTCCCAACTGTGGAACTATAGCTGAGTTACCTTTTTTTATTTATTTCATAAAAACAATGGACTTATGGATATGAGAGAGTAACACTACCTTGTCCACAATAACAGAAACAGAAAAACAATTACAAGATCACCGTCTGAGTGAGGTGTTTGTTGAAGACAGATTAAAACTTAGAGTTGTGAGATTTTGGAAGATCTATCCTCCAAATAAATATTCTTCAAAAACAAATTCAGTCTTTGTTAATGAGAGAAATTTCAGTTAATGGAGTGCTGTTCTAGTGGATTGGCACAAAAGGAAAGAAAATGTAAGTGGGAATGTAGAGGCAGTGTGCACAAATGCCTTTCAAGAGAAACTGGGTTGTTGAAGAGAGCAAAGGAGACAGACGTCCCCTTAAGATGGCAGAGTAGGTGGATGCTATGCTCAGCTCCTCCCATGACCACATCAAAATTGCAACTAAAAGCTAAACAGAAGTCTTACAAATAACGATATAAAGAAGAAGCCACATGGAGATTGTTAGGAGGGGCAAAGACAGAACCTGCTGCCCCCACACCCACATGAAGCCATTGAGAATCAGTGGGGTGGGTGACATTTCAGCTGCAGAGTTCCCCATGAGGAGTGAAGGGTCCCAGCCCCACACCGGGCTCCCAAGTCCTAAACCAGTGTCAGGAAGAGAAGCCTACAAAAAGTCTGGCTGTGAAAATCAGCAGGAGATTCCATCCATCCAGGCGGGACAGAAGGCTGCTGGCAGCCCGGCCAGCCTCTTAAAGGGCCACACATAGTCTCACTTGCTCACAGGCAAATGGACAGTGACTTGGGAAGTGCCAAAGACACACAGGTAGAAACTGAGTTGTTTGGCTTCAGGATGAGGGCTGGTGGGACAGCTGCCATTGTTCCTGTGTTGAGCCCTCCCCACACATGACCAAATTTGAATCTGCATTAACCTGGTGAATTCCACTAGTCCCACCCTAATGACTTCCTGAGACCATACCCCACAACAATGGTCAGCAGGCCCCAGGGGGTTGGCAGCTGGCCTCAGTGTATCCTGAGACTTTTGTTGAGTGGCCTCAGGCACAGCACTGGCACCAAATTTTTTTTTTTTTTTTTAACTTTTATTTATTTATTTTTTAATATATCTTTATTGATTTCAGAGCGAGGAAGAGAGAGGGAGAGACAGAGGCAGAAACATCAATGATGAGAGAGTCATTCATCGGCTGCAGCCCGCAACCCGGGCATGTGCCCTGACCAGGAATCGAACCCTGATCTCCTGGATCCTAGGTCAACGCTCAACCGCTGAGCCACGCCTAGCCGGGTGGCACCAAATCTTAATCTATGTCAAACTGGTGACTCACTCCAGTCTGGTGATTACCTCAGAAATTGCTTCACCCAACCCCTGTACTGCTCAAAGATCTTCAGTGGCTGAGCCTTACAGGTAACTAGTGGGTGGCAACAGGTCTTGGGGTGCCTTGTGCATTTTGCTGATCTGCCCCAGGCCTGGTACTGGTGGCATCCAGCTTTGGTTCACAGCATGGCTTCTTCCTCATGCATCCAGGTCCAGCAAAGGCAACTACAAAACATGGATCACTTTATAGCTTCTAACAGGCAGCCCTGGACCAGTCACAGGCAGTGTTTGACAGACAGAGAAAGACAAATGCCATATGACTTTACTTGTATTTGCAACTTAAAGAACAAAATAAGCAAACCAAACAGAAGCAAACTCATAAATACAGAAAACAAAATAACGGTTGCCAGATGGGAGGGAGTTTTGGGGGCTTAGTGAAAAAGGTGAAGGGATTAAGAAGTACCAGTTGGCAGCTACAAAATAGTTACAGGGATGTAAAGTATGCCATAGAAAGTACAGTCAATAATATTGTAGTAACTATGTATGGTGTCAGGTACTAGAATTACTGGAAGGATTACTTCATAAATTATATAAATGCCTAACCAATATGCTGTACACCTAAAACTAATATAAAATAATGTTGAATGTCAACTGTAATTAAAAAATAAAAAATAAATAAATAAACAGAGCAGAGAAAAAGACCATTAACTGGTGGGCAATGTGTGGCCTGAGTCTTGTTTATGCTAGTGAGAACAGTAGAATACTAATGGATAATAAATAGAGCACAGAGCTTCCCAAATCCATCTTGGAACATAAATTTAAAGGTTGAAATTGAAAGCAAGGAATACTGAAAAAGATCCATGATAAAAATGAATATTGTAAGAGAGAATCTAGCTTCTCTAAATGACTTCAATTTCCCAGGTACAGGTACACCATATTTCAAGGTGCAAAAGAATTTACTAACGAAATGCTATATTGCTGACATCAATTGTTGAGAACAGTATAAATATCCCAAAAAGGAATATGAGCAAAAATATTTTCCATTGTCCAAGCAGGGGCAATGATAGATTCTGCAGACCAGTGAGCTCAGCATCAATGATGGGCAAAATGCTAGACTACATTATTGGAGGTGGGATGTGTAAACGTTTAGGAAAAGTATCCAAAATCACCAAGCACCAGCTTGTGGTCACTTAGTACAAACCGTGTACATTTTACTTTAATTCTTTCTTTGAGAGAATTCTAGACTAACAAATCAAAGAAATAGAATTCATGTAGAGAAGACATCACAAACTATGCCCAACAGGCCAAATCCAGCTTGCTGATTTTTTAAAATAAAGTGTTTTGGGAATAAAGCCATGTTTATTTATTTATATTTACTTAAGACAATGAAGCTCTTCTCTTTTTCTCTTTCTCTCTCTCTCTCTCTCTCTGTCTCTCATTTTCTCTTGGGGAATCCAGCTGCGTTGCTGTTGAATAGGTCCATGTGGCAGAAACGAAAGACCTAAGGCCTTCTGTCAACATCCAATGAGGAACTCAGGCCTCTAATAAAAAGATGAGTGCATAGCCTTCTTAGAAATTGATTCTCCAACTGCAGTCAAGACTTGAGATGACTTAAGTTCTGGCCAACATTTGTCCTGCAACTTCATAGAAGACCCTGAGCCAGACCATTCCAGCTAATGCCTCTCCCATATTCCAGACCCCCAGAAATTATGAGATAATCTATTTTATGTTTCTTTATTTTAAGCTACTATGTTTAAGTTTTTATTTCTTGTGAATCATGTTCACCATTCTTACAAATGAATCCAGGACTGACTCTTTACATATCTAGTATTTCCCCAAAATCACTGATAAATCTGAAGTTCTTGAGAATAAAAATATTTAAGACATAAATCAAACATTTCTCCAGACCCCTTTCCTTTACTTTAACTTCCATACTG